AAAAGAATGCAAAGCAAATGCAATGTACCAAATGCAGACGACGATGACAAAATAAGCATCTTTATGGAACCATCTACCTGGTAGCCCATACCTTAAAGTTTTTCTGTTTATTTAACGGCATATAAATTCTTTATGGGTCATTTAATGACGAAATTTAGTTTTCTCGGGAGATTGCATAATTTTTTTTCTTTTACAAAAATTTGTTGCTAGTAATTTATTCTTTTATTTATTTTTTAAATCTATATTTTCAGTTTTTTGAGCGCAGTTTAGGGTTCAATATTTGCCCATAGCTGGGACCCTAACTGGTGCTACCACCTCAAATCACGGTGGACCTGGGAAGAACGGCCATTACGAGGTAGTTTCACGCTCTTCAAAACCTCACGATCAGAGGACTTGCTGCTGGATGTATTTATGCATTAGAGAAATACAAGAAATTGTACTCACAAGTACAGGTGACACATTAAGAAGAGCTATAGCTATGGAAAATGTGTGATTTTGTATTTAATTTGGTTTTTGTTGTTTTTTTTATAAAAATCATCAGTGGAAACTGTCACGAAACCATTTTTCTCCTCGGGTCTCTGGTTGGGACCCGGAAGGAAATGTTTATACAACAGAAATCAAAGGGAATAATAATAATAATAATAATAATAATAATAATAATAATAATAATAATAATAATAATTACTCTTCTTGACATCGACAAGTCAAACATTTTAGCCTCTGGCAGATGCCCCTCTGTATTCACGATTCAATATGTAAGCTTTTTAATTTTTAATAGTATTTTAAGTCTGACTTCATTTTAACTTTAATTTTTATTCTTTTCATTTTAATTTTATTTTTATATCCTCATTTCTTATTTATTTAAAAAAATTTTCCATACTTCCAGCGGAGGTTTTCGTAAATGAATTGATCTTTTTATCTAAGTACAGTGTATCTTTTTTTATATATATATATATATATATATATATATATATATATATATATATATATATATGTTGTTAAAAAGAATGCCTCACACTTCCTGTTGCCTATGTGGACTGACACAGGATATACCTGGCGTCTTGTTTCGGGAATTAGTCTAGAGTTGGAAATACGTCTCCAGCGGTGCTGGTCAAACTCTCTGCCTCCAGGCAGAAGGGACCCCCAGACGAGGCTATGTCGAAGGGCAGAGCCTCGTCTCATGAAACAGCTACCCGACCCCATTTTATATGGGGAATTTTGGGCCGAGTTTACGGGCTCGGATACCCCACACTAAATTCGGTCTTGTGCCACATCTGACCGCGTGGGGTGGCTGGTATATATCCTAGCTTCGGGGATTAGTAGCTTGATAACTGATTCCCTGATTTCTGTAGTGTATTCTCTTTTATAATAAACCCCTCTTTCTTTCATCTACGCCTATGTTGCTGTTTCTTTCACTGGAGCGCCTCCTTTGTCTGCTTGTAACCTTCTTTAATGATACAACAATATATATATATATATATATGTGTGTGTGTGTGTACGTGTATGCGCATGGGTGAGGATCGTATTGGCTGATTACCTATTTTTCCTTCTTTTCTTTCTCGTGATAACCCCCAATGTATGTCCACCTGCCCTTTTATGTAGTATTGGTCATTACGACTAAGTTAAAACTTAATATGCTCAATCTGTGTTGTTTCTTAATGAAGAGAAAAACTTCGAACAACAACTGGCAACTTAAGGTGTTAATCGTGCCGAGGAGTAAATGGCAGCTGCGTTATGAGGTCGCGAATGATCCTCTACAAGCTTTAGAACCCTGTCTGTAAAAGACCGTTAACCAATGTGCCGGGCAACATTCGGTGGACTTTTGGACCCGTGCGTCATTCGTGGGAACAATATGAGAACTAAAATTCAAACCAAGTCCAGCATGGCTTTTCCAGTGGATAAACAGGGAAACCCGTCCCTCAGTAGAGAACCTACCTGAGGTCGAAAATCTGCCATAGGAACAAACTCCTCCACAAGTAATGAATCTTCAGGTCCCCACAACTGGAATAATCTCAACGAGGGCCCGCGAATTCTTCATCTAGATCCACAACTATTCATTTAAAGAGAGAAAAGGTAAAAATGGTCTCGTGAGGAGTACAAACTCGTTATGACTGCATTCTAGGAAGCATTGCCCAAACCTCAGAAAAGCATCACTTGCCACACAACATTTGGCAAGAAAAGGTTGGACAAGCAATTAGAATGTACATTGATGAAAATAGACTAACCAATGTAAGAAGGCAAATCATGAGAAATAACTGATTAATAGATGCTGAAATTAAAGAAATAAAAAGAACTGCAACGAAAATAAGCGAATCAACAGAACATGAAAGTGAACCAGAAATGAACATAAAAAGTACTAACATCACACCAACCAGAGATTATATTGAAGAAATAGAAATACACACCAATCACTGGGAAGATAATGCTGAGTTGGAAAGTTGTGGTCTTCGTCACTCACAAGCCGGCTATAAAACGAATCCAAAAGAAATTGAACCGAATTATTTACGGAAAACAAGAATAGTATAAAAGAAGACAAGGAAGAAATCCTGAGACATATAAGTCAAATACAAAATATTGAAATGGAAGAACGAAAACAAATCCCAATATTACAACCAACAAAGCAGAACCTCAAAACTATTAAACGCTACAATGCAGCATTCAAATTAATTCTAGATGAAGTAAACCCACCTAAAAGTTTCAACAAAGCAATATATGCATCTGCAATAGCAGCAACTAAAAAATTAAACATCAAAGTAAAAAAAGGTATGAAAAAACATGAAGATCCACCTTGGAAAAGAAAAATAGAGGAAGAAATTGAACAACTTAGAAGAGAATTATCAGTATTCGATGAACTGGCAAGAGAAACAAATGTAAGGACTAGAAATGGCAGGAAAGTCAAAAGAAAATAAAAAATTAAGAATGAAAATGAAATCCTATCAGCTAAAGAAAAAAATAAAGCAAATAATACAATCGAAGGCTCAAAGAATCAGACGTTATGAAAAAAGATCAAGATTCTACAGACAGAACAAGATCTTTCAAACCGATGCGAAGAGTTTTCACAGTGTAATAGGCAAACAAAAAATGGAAGTGACACCCACCACCACCCCCAAATGAAAGAGGTTATACAGTTGGGGGAGAAAAAATATGAGCTTGCCCTAAAGAACATAACAATAAAGCAGATTGGATTATGCAAGAGGGAGAACGGATGAAAAATAAACCAGAACAAACATAGGCGGGAATCACAGAAGAGGATGTTGGATGTGCACTGAAAAAAAAAAACAGCAACTGGAAATCTCCAGGAATATATAAAATAGATCTAAATACAGCACACAAAAAAACTAGCCAAAGAAGTTCAAGGAATGGTCAATGATCCGACATGGATAACCAAATGAATTACCTTCCTTCTACCCAAGAATAGTGACACAAATGTCCTAAAAACTAGGGACTAATTACATGTTTTCCCACTACTTCCAAACTGTTGAAATCTATTCTGACAAAACAGACATATTCCTTCATAGAAAAAAATGACATGCTACCTCTTGAACAAAAAGGGCGCAAATGTGACACTTACGGAGGTAAAGACCAATTACTTATTAAGAGAATGATCTTGAAAAACTGCTTCAGTAAAAAGATAGATTACTGCCTGGATCGATTACCATAAGGCATTCTATAGGGTAACACATTCCCGGATCTTAGAGTCTTTAAACATATACAAGGTATCACCCGTCGTCATCAGTTTCATCAAACAAATTATGTCAATATGAAAAACAACACTTCAACTCAATCATATAAATGGAGTCTATAAGTCTGGTGAAATAAATATCAACAGAGGAATATTTCAAAGTGACTCTTTGTCTCCCTTACTACTTTGTATATTCCGAATAGTATTAACCAGCGAGCTTAACAAGACGGAATATGGCTATAAGATATCTCAAAAGAAAATAAGCCATCTATTTTACATGGATGACAAAATTTCATGTTAGGAATGACAGTGAACTAGAAGATCTAAAAAAAGTAAAATGTTTCAGTTGTAACATTGGAATGGAATTCGGTTTGAATAAATGTGCTAAAGCCACAATTTTACGAGGATCACTGTAACAAACCTCTTCTATTAGCTTAGATCCTGGGGGTAACAATCAAACATTTACAGCAAGAAGGTTATAAGAACCGCGGTGTAAATGAGTGTGAAAGAATCCATCATAAAATTGAAAGAAATAGTCCGAAAAGAATACTATAGAAGGGTGTGACTGATATTAAGAACTGAATTAAATTCTCAGAACATATTTATGGCCATTAACAGCCTTGCCATCCCAGTGGTTCAATATAGTTTCAACATCTTGAACTGGACGCTAACTAGACTCAGATGAATGGATTCTAAGACAAAAAAGCTTCTTTCTAAGCATAACATGCATCATCCAAAGGTTGACGTAGACCGTCTATACATACCCCTTAAAGAAGGTAGAAGATGTCTTATTCAGCTTGAATTGTCATACAAGACTACTATTGGCTTACTAACATACATGGAAACAACAAAGGACTTGATGATACAGTCAAACAACATGAAAACAGAAAGAAAAAGATATTCAGTCATGAACGAAGGTTGTAAATACAAACGAGATATGCATTTAGTAAATTCTGTAGAAAACCAAAACAGAACCCAAGAACCAACTGTTGCAGCAAAAAATATGAAAAAGAAAGCCAAGGATAAAGTTCTTAAACAAATGAAACAACGCTGGCAAGACATGTTTTTTACGGTTTATCAACCTTTTGCTGGTTATTTAAAGGCAGAAAATACTTTTTAAGAATTTTGGTGATAATAATTATTTACTGATACAAGTCCTACTATTTAACTCATAGCTATGGGGAGAAGGCATGGATTCATACCATTCACAAGGGTATTTGCGCGTATGTGAATATAACAATCATAATTGGAACTGGAACTCGACCCTCCGATTTCAAAAATTTTAGCTGTTATTCGTTTCACCACCCGAACATCCGAGCTTACATCACCTGATATTCCCAAAACTCACCCATCTAAGTAGTGTCCAAGCTCGACGTTGCTTAACTTCGGTGCTCGTATGAGAACATGTGTTTCAACATGATATGTCCGTAAGCCCAAGCTTACACTGGGAAAAAGAAAATTATAAACAAATACCCGCTCCAGTGGCTAGTGGAACGCACTGGACTACAATGAATATGCCATCCTTTTTTAGGAAAAAAGACAAGATGTGGACAATGACAACACCAAAAATGGCGAAAAAATCGACTACGTTGACAATGTAGGTGAAACTGTCACGACGTCTGTCTTTGACTCGAACAGCAGCGAACTAAACTTCATTGTCAATATCATCAACATCAGGCCTATAAACGGGTGTGGCTGTAGGGTGGTGCGTAACTGAGCAACTGATCAGTTCCCTCCTATAGCTGGGTTGAAAACCGGAGATTTATGGATCCTTTCGTAACTTGTCTTGAACATGAAGACTGACCCGCCCTCAGGTCAAACCACAACCGATGTCCTTCAAATTAAAGGATCACTTTCATCACGCACAGATGGTCGTTAATATTCCATCGGAGGAACTCTACCCACTGGCCATTAACTTTAGTCTAGGAAACACTCCACCTAGCAATGTCATGCAATGTATGCACTGGCTACATACATAGCTTTGTTGGTTGTTTTTATTTAGCAGCATATCAACCCGTATGGGTTATTCAATACTGAAATCTAGGTATGAAAACTCAAACTTTATAAACCTGGTTAAGGTGGACCTGAGAACAACTGCAATCAAGAGGTGGTTTCACACTCATCTAATCTCTTGATCAGAGGCCTTGGTTCCGGATGCAGTTTATTGTCATGCTCAGGACGAACATGGCTATAAAGCCAAGTCTATTCCATTGTTCTAAATGGCCATTGACCTCAGAAGAAGCTTCATCCTCTTTTTAACGCCCTTTTTTTATACAGGTTTTCTAGCCGCCCTTTTCATCAGAAGAGCTTGCTGGGGATACCGGTATGACCCGACCACGAGACAGGTAGTATTGAGTTACAACTTACAAGTAGTACTGGCTACTAAAGCAAACTAAGATGTGCTTAATACTGATGTGAATCTTTTTATAAATAAATGCAATGTTTAGTTCGTGACTGAAGTGCTTTGTTACTTAGATGGAGCCATTTAAAGAGGTTATTTTCGGTCATACTTCCAAATTATGACGACTCTCCTGGCCAGAAAAAAGTTCATATTTAATTTTCATATACAATACACACTCCTAATGTTTAAACTTAAAAATCTAGAAGAATAATTGCGTGATATGCATGAATTATTGTGGTGATCATAACAGAAAATAAATTATTGATTTTCTCACGCTATGCATAGTCCAATAACTAAATATAATATTTCTCCGGAAAATAGAAATGGAAAGAAAAGTAACACAAGGAAAAGTTAACAGGTGAAAGTGTTCCTCCATATTTTTCAGATTTTTAAGGGCTAGAAAGAGAGAGAATGGAGCGGAGGCAATAAAAATTCCCTAAAATTTTCTTTATTGATCAAAATGTAAGCGTAAGTGGAAAATTCGTTTTGTCTCTTCAAGTCGCTTTTTCATTCGCTTAAAAATATGCTTTAAAAAGCCCACTGTTATTGTATTTCTTCATTGGTTGAAATTGGTGAAAAGAAAATCTAATAAAGGAATGACATTGGACGTCATACTTCTTCGCTTATAAGACAAAAGGAACAACTCTTCAGATTCTGCGAACTTTAACTTGCATAAATTCATTTGCCTTTATAACTGCTGTAAAAGAAATTATTGCGTTAATTCTGCTAGTAATTCGATTTTTTATTATCATTTCACCCCTAGCAAGGCGTCAATGCCACTAGTACGCAGGGGGTTACAGGGAATGAAAGTGAAAGAGAATACTGAGAATACAGAGGATTGTAGAAAAAAAAGAATGAACGGGATTCAAGAGGACAGTAGATGGCGATTGACGTTGTATTTAAATTTTTGAAGATTTTAGTTTTCAGAGAAACAAGTAAACTGAAGATGAGAATTGCAAGAAAAAACTGAAGTAGAAGTGGCGGTTGCGTTTAGCCATTTCAACACTAAACGGGTGGATCCTAGATGCCACTCTAGGGGTACGCTTAAGTTCAGGTAATTGGGGCAGCAAGGAAAAAGCTCGCCAAAGCAGTTGCAATGAAAATATTTATAGAAAAGACAAGAGGAAACTATGTCACTTCGATGAGAATGTGACTGAAGACGACATGCCTGCTCAGTATCAATTACATTACAGATTATTCTTTGAATTTTGTCAAGAATCTCAAGAGATACAGCAGGATCACCAAACCAGATTTGGCATCCATAGCTTTGGAGGTGGGGAGAAGAGGATTCCCAAGTGAATGTAATGAATTCGACTAAAATTCGAACTCGGCTCTCCGATTTCTCAATCCATCACACCACCGTGCCTAAATAAAAACTGAATAGTCGTATTATTTCTGAGGTATTGGCAAGGTGTGACGTACTTGCTAATTAAGGAAGGAAGTTACACGCAGAATAATAATAATACTAATACTACTACTACTACTAATAATAATAATAATAATAATAATATGGAGGAAACAAAGAGGAATGCAAATATCTGTTAATCCAAGAGCAAATGAGGCAAAGAAAGAAAAGATAAGAAAAGACTTCCACAGAAAGATAAGATAAATCCTACGACTGAACTCAATGCTAGTTATCGGATATTTTTAAAATCACTTTACTCCAAGCAAGCCGATAATGCCATTAGGCCGCAGGTGGTTACAGGGAGTGAAAAAGAACGAGAAGAATTTAGTGAGGAGAAATGAGGAAAAGGAGAATAAAGAAACAAAGTTCAGGAAGACAGCAAGTCGCGATTGGCGTTGCATTTAAATTTTTGAATATTGCAGGTGGCAGGAAAGCAAAAAATCGGAGGGGAGCTTCTCAGGCGTGAAGAAGAAATAAACTCTTAGAATAGAACTGACAGCTGCATCTATATAGTTCAACATTAAAACGATGAGACCTAGTTGCCAATCTAGTAGCAAACTTCAATTCACGCAGTCGAGACACTAAAGAGAACTTCTCATCAGAACAACTGCTATGAAAATATTTGTAGAAAAGAAAAAAGGGAAGACACGTGACATCGGTCACAAAGTGACTGAAGTCGAGATGCCAGGATCGATTATATTATAGGTTCTTTAAATTACTTCAAAATCTTAAAAAAAAACTGGATACATGCAAAAATATTTGAATGAATAGGAGTTTACAATGCAATAGTGTGTCTTCTCACTGGATTTATTCAACCTTTACAAGGAGGCAATCCTAAGAGAACTGGATGTCCTACCAAGGTTTGTTATCGGTGGATACAACCTTAACATCAAATACGGAGATGACGCCATGTTGAATGCAGACACAATAAAAACTGTAAGTTCTCATAGACAAGATATTACAGGAAAGTGTAAATAAATGATTAACCATCAGTTCTAAAAATACAAAATTTATGGTTATCAACAAGAGAAACAGTCTAAGATGCGATCTACAAAATGAAGACTGCAAAACCAAACAAGTTCAGAATTTCGACTATTTGGAAAAATGTTTTAACAGAAGACGGAAAGACTGAAATCAGAAGGCGCATTGGAATAGAAAAAGATGCCTCCCAAAAACTAAACAAAGTATTAACAAACAAGAAAATATCGCTAGAAACAAAGGAAAGAGTGTTCAACAGCTATGTAATTATCAGTCCTCCTATATGGTAGTGAATGATGGTCAATTTCCTCAGAGATAAAGCGGACACTTGAATCAACGGAGATGTGATCTAAAAGAGTCATGCTGAGACTATCATGGACGGAGTGTGTAAGCAACGGGGAAGGAAAATGGAAACAAAAGGGACACTTAGAATCAGGAAGAAACTGTTGAAATTTCATGAATACATAACGAGGAAAGAATGCTTGGAGAGTTTGACACTCACGGGATATATCGAAGGCAAGAGGAGTAAATGGAAACAGCGAATAAACTGTCTAAAATGATCGTTCGAATCGATGGACAGTGAATATATTTTGGACAAATAATGAGGAACGAATGCTTGGAGAATTTGACACTCACAGGACATATCGAAGGCAAGAGGGGTAGATGGAAACAGCAAGAAAACTATCTATTCGTGCAAATGGATGGCAGAATAGGAATTGGAGACAGAGTAAAAAAAAGACAGATATTGCTAAGGGTTACAAAGAATAGGAAGTTGTGAAGAGTCATGTTCGAACACGTCCTAAAGGGACAGGGCACATCGAAGAAGATGAAGAAAAGAAGAATTTAACTGAGTGTAAGACTGAATAACTTCAGTAATATTTGTCAAGGCAGAATATATTTAAAATTGATTATTGCCGGGTTTGACTTCTTTTTTTTTTGTTTTTTATTTACTTTATTTGATTTGTTTTTTGTTTTTTGTTTTTTTTTTCAGGCAAGATTACATGTAACGGTGTAGCAATAATATTCTATATTATTACAATACAGAGATATGTTAAATCCTTTTTTTTATTTTTTATCAATTTTATCAAAATCAATTATTTCAATTCATTCGAGTTATCTTGGGAAAAGGATTGGAAATGTGATATGCGCCACAGTAGTTTTTTTTTTTTTTTTTTTCGGAGAGTGCAGATAGGGAGACATCGAACTGAAAAAAGGAAGAAAAATATTGATAATTTCAGAAAGAGAACTTATTGATGTTTTGAATGTGAGGCGCAAAAGCCATAATGTAACTTTTTATTTGTTTGTTTTTTTATATATATATATATATATATATATATATATATATATATATGTGTGTGTGTGTGTGTGTGTGGAGAGAGGGAGCTTATTTCTCTTAGAATACATAACTGAGATGCGTAATCGTGGTAGAAAATGCAATAAAGATGAGGGCGTGTTCATTTCTATATGGTTTGTGCATACCTTTACGTAAGTCTCTCTAAGAGTGCGCATGCGCATGCACACGCATTTGGGCATGCGCACTAATGTTCAAAAACTATATAAAAGTGTTGGGCAAGAAAATTGTCAGCAAGGAGGATGTATTAATATTTTGTCGTATCTAAAGGAAATGGAATCACTTCCTTTACAAAT